ATGTGTTTGTTGATTGCTGATTGACCTGAGTGCCAAGCTTCTAAAAATTCTCTAGTGTTCTTTGTCCTCCCCCTACCCAGTATTTCCACATTGTTCCAATCGAATGTATGTCCATAATTGTCGGTGTGTATTGATATAAGCGAAGAATTGTCGTGGCGTTTGACTGCTAATCGGTGTTCACGTAAACGAAGCTGAAGAGGCCGTCCACTTTGTCCTATGTAGTGTTTTTCACAGTCTGAGAAATTTAGTTTGTAGATGATATTTGGTTTTTCTTCCTTTGTCATTTTGTCCTTTGGTCTACATAGGATTGATTGAAGTGATTCTGTATGTTTGTGTGCCACACCTATTCCAAATGATTTCAGTAGTCGTGCTGTATGCTCCGATATGTCTTTTATGTATGGTAGGATGATCCGTTTATAGGTTCCTGTACTTGACTTCGCTTTTGTTGACGATTTCAGTTGATGTTTTTTGATGAAGCTGGGAGGATAGTTGTTCTTTCGGAAGATAGTCATTAGATATTTATCTTCGTTTTTTTGCGTTTCAGGTGTGCTGCAGTGAGTCTTCGCTCTCTTGAACAACGTTTGTATGCAGTTTGTATTCAGACATGGTATCAGTTCAAAAGAGTCATTAACTGTTAGTTTTCTCCAGACTATCTGCTTTCTGAGGTGTGCATGTGTGTGTGTGTGCTATAATTATGATTAGCAGTTGAAGAAATTTCCAGCAAAGATTAGCTCGGAATCATTTATTCTAATCAGACAAGTACATTCATCTTTGATGTTCTTTTCAATCTTTAATTCAAGTATTTTATTTTGACTTCATTCATGTAGACCGTTCCATTGTTATTTCGAATTATATTCTAACTATCCATTCGTTCACTTTTTATTTTCCGACTTCATTCATAATTCATCTTATGATGTTATTTATGAAATGATAATTTGGACCAACATACTAATCTATCAGCCTCTAAGTTGATTATAAGTGGAAAAATTAAAACACCCACATAGAATGTTTCTGTTAAAGAATTCATTTTTCCAAGTACACAAACCCACCGAGTGGATGTGTTTTGCGGGGAACTATTGCCCCGAGGATCTTGACGCTCATGCATGGAACCAGTGGCGCAAGTGTATGTTACATGTATACCAGATATTCATGAGTTTTCACCTCATATATCTCATGACGTACATATAGACATACACGCCCCGACGGTCAATTATACTTTGCATGCACTCTGCGAACACACGAGTTTTCACCCATGCATCCCCCTGGTATATACACTTAGGTATATTCGTCACTTGAAAGAGTTAATGGTTGCCACTCCAATGAACGTATTATTTGCCACGGACTGTCTCTCATGCGTTTCATGAATACCATAGGTACATAAACTTTCATACAAGCAATTCACAACATATCTACTAACAAGAGCAGTACTCTAAGGGGGATGGTCGATGGTCACCTCTCTCCTAGTATTTAATACCCTCTTAACTTTTGTTTTGTTTATGTTATTATTCGACCTTGCTTTCTCGTTTATGTTCCTTTTTTTACAAGCACACTGGTGTACAGTTTGCTTAATACGCCTACACATAAACGAAATAAACCGGACCTCATGCAATTCATATATACGCAAGCATACTACACATTAGGTAGTCTTTTCGCTATTCGCTTACAAGCTTCGAGAACTCTAGTAATCAAATACAACATTAGACTAGGTGATTACCAGTCCGATCTCCACCGACCACACCATATGTTAGCCAACGTAATCGTTTCCCTCGTTATACAGCTTCACTACTAGGAGGAAGCCATTAGATCGGATTTGCCCACTTCTTATTCAATGTTTGTTCGTTATTCATGTTTCACAAATATTTATCAATTACTTACATACGCATGCAGTCCCTCTAGGGCTACTGCCAATCCCAAGCCTAGATAAAGGAAGAGAGTTTGGCGTGGGACTGGCAATTCCATTTCGTAGAAAACTAACTCACTACAAAAAGCGCTAACTGTTGGGGATGTTAGATCCCCGAAATTCGCTTGATAAATGCCTTATTTTGGTTTTCACGTTTGCCAACATGAACTGATCTGTTGACTTTGAGATTTCAATTCCCATCAGGAAAATCCATGGCTGTGATTGGCTGCTGTGTAATTTAGTGTGCTATTTTCTTAACTGTCTCAAGGACGTTTCTATGATGTATAAATAAACGAGAGTTGTATGCTTGATTGTATTGTGATTGCTGGGTGTTTGTAGAATATACTTTCTACGCTTACAAAGCCTTCTTACCCTAGTTTGGGATTCAAGGTAGCCTACCTGGACGCTGGTAATTGTCTCGTTCGCGTTTATCGACTAAGGTGAACTCGTAATAGCGTCAAGCATACTTAGTGACGAACACAATACTAACCAGAAATATCGATTCAAATACTCATCAATTAACCAATAACTATTGTTATTATTATTAATATTATTATTACAAATTTGTAGATTTCCTGAATCCAAATTACAACGAAAAGTTTCCAAAGAATCATCAAGTTTATTAGCACGTAAATTAGATTTAACTCAGTCAGCACGATTAGCATTTACTGCTTATCTACGTGATTATTGTTTAATGGCTAGAAGAAAACCAGTTAAACAACAACAACAACACCAGCAACAACAACCAAATGAAACATTGAATGTGTTCAATGTTAAAGATTTACCAATAGAGAAATATGCTAATTCACTTGGTAAGTAAATAATATGTCCTAATTCGATGTTTTTCTCATTTTTATACTATTCATTTGAAATCGTCAATCAATCAATCATTGTTAGACCACCATTAGAAGAAACCTGGAAGCACTGAAAGACGGCCGTTTCGTCCTGGTATGGGACTTATCAGTGGCAGTGCGCATCCACGACTCCTGCACCTCGCAGGATTCGAACCCGGGACCTTCGGTATTGTGCGCGAACGCCCAACCACTGGGCCGGCATCCAACGGTGTTAATGTCTATTATTATAAAGTTAGCAAGTTGAACTTACATAAAATAGAGACAATCATAACTGTACTGTATGAATATGCATTTACCGAAATAATAAGAGAGTCTTCTCCTTGATACGTCGCTACCTTGACGTGGTAGTCGGGCTTGCCTGTCGTGATGACTCAACAAAGCTGTATTGACCATGCCAGAGAGGTCCGTTGGCAAACGATAAGACTAAAAGCGGCAATTTAAGGTCGACAAGAGAAGTTGTACTGCTGTTTGTAGAGGATTATTGTGACGTCAGTAAGGTATTTCTCTCGGACGACCAGTATCTGCAGCGATGCTGCCTTCTAACAAGAAAGGAAGGGGTTTAAATGGTCGGTCATAAAAATCTCACACCTGTCCTTGCTCCACGGATTTCCGTCCCCGGTGATGAAGTCGTAAACATCCCATAAAACGTCAGTGTGTGACCAATCTCAAGTAGTTGTCCCTTGGGCTCTGTGGTCACACTCCCCGATCGCTCAGACCAACACTAAACCACCTTCCCTTTCACGTCCCTCAAGAAATACCACCTTTCACGGTATGTGGGCAGTCGGAAAGTGACATCCACCCAACATACCCATAACAACACACGAGATCAACTTGATACATCTCAACAATTCTCATCATTATTAACACTATTTATCTGTTACGCCTGATGTGCTTGAACTATTACGAGTTTACCTAGTCGGAAAACGGGGGCGAGAATTGAGGATCCGGCGACACGACATGCTACTCTAATAGGAGTGTCCCCACCTCCATATTGAGTAAAAAGAAGAAGACTTGATAGGAAGTAGAACCTGTATTCTACAAGCATCCAGGAAGTATAAGGTCCGAGTCCAGAAGAAAATCAGTATCCGGGACCGAGCCTTGGTCCTGGTCGTGGTCATAAAACGTTACAGATAATGCGTATCTATACATTTTGGTCGAATAGGAAACAGCATCGAATTCTGTGACATTGACAGTTAAGATGACCAATAGGAAGCAACATTTGAAGTGACATTGATAGTCAGGACAACCAATAAGAAACAACATTGGAGTACGTGACATTGATATCTACTAGGACGACCATAAAATTGACCAGTAGGAATTAACCAATAGGAATTGACCAATAATTCTCTTAGGATATTGGATGAATATCCTAACAGTGTGGGACTCATCAGCATTACGCATCCACGACTCTTACCACTTGCAGGTTTCGAACCAAGGACCTCCGGTCTTGCGCGCGAACGCCTAACCACTGGGCCGGCATCCAATGGTCTTAATGTCTAGCTCTGGTCAGTCTACAGATTTTGCTCGACCTCATCCATTTGTCTTTCGTAGTTGCTTCCTACATCCTGACAGGGTTAAACTCCACCGGTGATTTCAATGTACAACAAACACCAATCTCCATAACTCTAATTGAAAAATAATCATATTACCAAGAAGTAAATATTTGCAGGTTGATTACTAACAGTTAAGAAGACCATTAGGAAGCAACATTTGAAGTGACATTGACAGTCAGGACAACCAATTAGAAACAACATTGGAGCACGTGACATTGATATATACTAGGACGACCATAAAATTGACCAGTAGGAATTAACCACTAGGAATAGACCAACCTAATAAGGTTATTGGATGAATATCCTAACATTATTATTATTATTGTTATTATTATCATCATTATCAATTCATGTGTTAATAATCTCTTTTGTTTTTGTCAATCAATGAATTTATTTTATACAATCACAATAGGTTTACCATTTATATCATCACTTCCTAAAGAATATATTCAACTAGTTCCGGATTCAATGAAATTCATCAAAACTTTTCCATCGATTACATCAAATTTACCGTTAGATAATAATGTCGATCAATTATCCGATGTCAATCCAACTACTACCACTGCTACTACTACTACTAATACTACTGAAAAGGCATTCCATTTAGGCAATGTGGATCAAAATCAAGATAACGATGATGATGATGATGATGATAATTTGCTTATTAAAAAGAATTCATCGGATGTTGTCGTATCAAATTCAACTGGATTAAAATTGTTAGATTTTGTTCAAAATTCAAGTACCGATGATGATCATAATGATGATGTAGACAAAGATAGTCAGAGTAAATTTGATCCATATGAAAGTAGTAGAAAATCTAACAGTAAAACGGTATGTGGATGTCTATCTGGTTGTTGGTGTTGGTGTTTTGTGTGTGTGTGTGTGCTTATACAGTGATCTCAGTTTGGTGAATGAGTCAGTCAGTCAGTCAACAACCAATTAGAACTTCTTATGTACCTACATCGCAGTTCAAGTTGCCATAACACATTAGCACACAGATACAATTGTCATTTTAAATCACATACTAGTAGAGTCAGTAGAAGTACTTTCTGTAGTCGGAAATTTTAGGGTTCGAAGATATTATTCAAGAAGTATTCAAGAAGGGGAATTCATAAGACTGGAATTTAAGAGAACACAAAGAGTGGATGCACCTGCACCGTTGTAAAAGGTTTTCAGTCATGTCATTCAAAGTCTCTAACCATCGATTATTATCATCTCTCTTGCCCTAACCGGGTAGTCTACACTTACCAACATGACTCAATCCACTTGTCAGTGATTTCATGGATTTGTACCATATTTTGGTCTGGCCGCCCCTAGCTTTCTTCCAACCTACTTCTACATCACAAAACATTCTTGTTATGTGTGACTATCTTCCAAAATGACAGCTATCCACGTAACTTCATCAAAAAAAACATCAACAGAAGCAAAATCAAGTGCAGTAACCAATAACGGATCATTCTACCATACATAAAAGACGTACCAAAAACTATAGCATGACTACTGAGACCATTTAGAATAGTTGTGGCACACAAACCAACAGAATCACTTTAATTAATTTTATGTAGACCAAATGGATAAAACAAAATCAACTGCTCAGACTGTGAAAAACATTACATAGGACAAAGTGGACGGCCTCTTCTGCTGAAGTTTGTGCTGATGATGTTGTTCCTTAGAAGAATAATGAAAGCTCCACAACCAAAACATCCCCAGGTCAAAGAACGGAACTGCATCATCCAACTAAGCTACAAATTTTCTCCATCATCCCAAAAATCGACAAAGACTAGCTACAAATTAGATTTGGAGAAATTCCAATACTCCTCTTCTAACTGAAGTTTGTGCTCATGATGTTGTGTAGAAGAAGAACAATGAAAGCTCCATAACCAAAACATCCACAGCTCAGAGAACAAAACACCACCACAAGGATTGAGTCATGTTGGTAGATGTAGCCTCGAGATGATAGTAACCGATAGTTAGAGACCTTTGTATCACATGGTTGAAAATCGTGCAGATGCCATCCATTCATTATCTTCTCTCAAATTTTAGTTTAGTGAATTCCTCAGTACTGTGTTTTTGCTCTTTTTTTAAAATTGACTCCTCTGGGATATACTTTCCGAATGATATCTTCGATCACTGAACTTTTTGATTGATGCGGATACTTTTACTACGTCTACTACTGCTATGAGATTTGAATTGACAATTCGATCTCTGTTTGCTAATGTAGTTTGGCAATTGGAACTGTGATGTTCTACATTGCAGATGACTGACTGACTGACTGTTTAACATTAACTTTGTGTTGTACAATATAAATATGGACAAATTAATGTTTGCATTTTTTGCATCTCTGTACAAACTTAACGCATCATGAAAGATTCATTAGCGTGTTTTTTTTCTAGCGAGTTACTTTTCTACAGGATGGTGTTGCTAACTCCTTGTTCTACTCTCCTCTGGGCTTAGGATCAGCGGTGGTAACCACAGAAGGACTATTATAATGTGTAAATATATCTTAGAACATATTAGCATTTCTAAACTGGACATTTTATAGCCGTGCATCAAAACATTAATAATTTATTAAGAAAATTTTAAACCGTTTGAATTCTCTGGTTAAAAAAAATCCTTGTCAATTTATTGTATCAATTTATGTGTCTTCTTGAAACAGGCCTACCCAACCATAATACATTATTACTATTATTATTATTATTCCAAGTTTTGTTTAGACATTTAATTACTGTGGTTGCGTTAAACTCTAGGTAGGGCTTACTACTTTAGTGACTCGTGAACTGACTCCTTTATTTATGATGATGTTCGAGTATACTGACGAAATAAATCTCCCTTTCGGTTTCCTGATACATCATACTTAGTCGAATCCTGTTTAGTTAAATGAATTTATTTCAAACAACCGTTGATTACAGCCAGACAGGAGAATACATCAGCTTGACAGCGAAATGAAACGAAGTAGAGAAGACCGGCTAGCCAACTCGAAGCGATAAAAGCCATGAAAAACTATTTATATAGTCAGATAAAAATAATCTAAATATATGTAGTAAGCGATGCACTCAACAGCTAGATCAGCTTGTTCTTGAGTGTTTTCTCGTGTGGGGGCTGCCGGTAAGTTGAAGGTATCTAGCACGATGTCAAGGGCAAGATTTTCTCCTGTTGATGGGCGATCTGGGGCTAGCCAGCAAAATGAAGCGAAGTAGAAAGGGCCAGCTAGCCAATTCAAAGCGATAAGTATTTATATAGTCAGATAAAAATAATCTAAAGATATGTAGACACTCACATGCTTGAATAAAACCAACAACCATGATACGAGTGAAAAACTGACAACATCAGTGCTTCCAGGTGTCTAATGGTGCTCTGTCTAACAATGATTGATTGATGATTTCAAATGTGTAAAAACACAAATCTCAAAAGCTCTAACTAAAAAAAACGTCGATAGTATTGTAGTGAAGGAGAACGCAAGTGAGGGCAACTGAATTATATTTAACGAAAATTACAGAGTTACTCAGTGAAATAGGAAAACCTTATCGTAAACGGTTAATTTGCAAATCTTCAATCCATTGTCTGACAGTTCACCACTATTCATGCGTTTCATACAAATTCCATTGTGTTCCCACTCTTCCTTTTTTGATCTTCACCAACCATCTTCTGCTGCCAGACATTAGGTTGACACTCATGTTATATACTACTTATAAGTAGCTCACACCACAGTATCACGGTCGTTATCATTCTCTTTTGTATTGTCCTTCTCTTTTCCTAGAAAAATTTAACTCGTGTACAATTAGCAAAGAAAGAATTAAAACAGAAAATTCGATCGCATCGAAAATTGGAATTCGATGAAGAAGGCCATGTAAGTGTGTGTGTGTGTGCGCGCGCGTATTGAAATGGTGGAGAAAACTTGTAGCTCAGGTGGATGCCTGTGCTCGTGTTTCTTTCTCTGAGCTGGCTGTTTTGGCTGTGGAGCTTTCCTTGTTCTCCTGCACAACATCATCAGCACAAACTGCAGATAGAGGAAGTGAAGTATTCGAATTTCTGCAAGTTTGACCTGTAGCTTCTTCTGCTAACCTCCATCTTGATTGGTTGCTGTTGTCTTTTGCCCTGTCGTTGTTTGCAACTTTGTTTTGACTGCACCCCCCTTTTGATCTGCTTCTTGATCCTATGTCGCCTGTTATTTTCCTGATTGGTTGATAAATTGGGTCAATGTCGATGTGTTTGTTGATTGCTGGTTGACTCTGAGTGCGAAGCTTCCGAAAAATTTTCTAGTGGTCTTTGTTCTCCCTCAACCCAGTATTTCCACATTGTTCCAATCGAATGTATGTCCATAATTGTCGGTGTGTATTGATATCAGCGAAGAATTGTCGTGGCGTTTGACTGCTAATTGATGTTCACGTAAACGAAGCTGAAGAGGCCGTCCACTTTGTCCTATGTAGTGTTTTTCACAATCTGAGCAGTTGTTTATTTTGTAGATGATATTTGGTTTTTCTTCCTTTGTCATTTTGTGCATTAGTTTATGTACGATTGATTGAAGTGATTCTGTTGGTTTGTGAGCTATACCTATTCTAAAATGGTCTCAGTAGTCATTCTGTATGCTCCGATATGTCTTTGATGTATGGTAGAGTGATCCGTTTATTGGTTGCTGTGCTTGATTTCGCTTCTGATGATTATTGATCATTGAAAGTAAAGTTTGAATGTGCTATGTGAATGCTCTGTTCTAAGACGTTCGTTCAATAAAAATCAATCAATTCAGTGATGTGCATTTTGTTTTTCAGGTGATATGTGAAAAAATCGGTGATATCCCAATCGCTAAGCCTCCTCTAATACCACCTGTTGATGATGTTGAAATGTCAGAGCCAACGTCATTCAATGAAGCATTGAACATTGATCGTGAACGTCGTCTATTGCATGAAATTATTGATAAAGAAGATAAAAAACTATGGCGTCAACGTATTCGTGAACGACATCGTGCTGAACGTAAAAAATTAAAAGAGGAAAGAAAGAAATTATCACAATCAAATGGTCCAAAAGTTACATTGAAAGAAGAAAATTCCACTGATTCCAATATGGAAGATTGAATAAGAAGATTCTTAGATTGATTTAATTTGGTAGTTGGTAAGTACTTGATGCAGTTTTATAGAGTCGATTGAATTGACAATTGCATCTTTCTGTGCTAAATAATGTGGTATGGCAACTGGAACTAATCGTACTGTTGAGGACTTTAGATCCCCAGAGCTCACTTGGAAAATGTCCTATTTTTGGATTTTCTATGTTTCCGCACATAAGCTGCTCAGTTGATCTTGAGATTTTATTTCCCACTCGGAAAATCCTTGCCTGTCATTGGTTGATGCATGATTCTAGTACGCTAATTTTATGGCTCTCCTTAGAATTTTTTTGTTACGCCTGCATGTAAACACATCAACTTGATATACTTAAACTAGTACGAGTTTACCTAGTCGGAAAACGAGAGCGAGAATCGAGGATCCGGCGACACGACATGCTACTCAAATCCGATTATCCCAACCCCTATATTGAGTAAAAATAAGAAGACTTGATATGAAGTAGAACCTGTATTCTACAAGCATCCAGAAAGTACGAGGTCCGAATACAGAAGAGAATCAGGATCCCGGACTAGGGATCCGGGAACGGGTCCTGGTCAAGGTCGTGGTCATAAAACGTTACAGATAATGCGTATTTATACATTTAGGTCGAATAGGAAACAGCATCGAATTCTGTGACATTGACAGTTAAGACGACCAATAGGAAGCAACATTTGAAGTGACACTGATAATCAGGATGACCAATAAGAGAGAACATTGAAGTGTTTGACACTGACAGTTAAAACGACCATAATTTTGACCAATAAAAATCGACCAATAGGATTTGACCAATAATTCTCTTAGGTTATTGGATGAATATCCTGACAGTTTTTATTATGTATAAATAAACTCGACTTGTGTGCTTGTTAACCTCGTGTTTCTTAGTGCTTATAGAATACACTTTCTACGTCCATATCAAGACTTCTTCCTCTACTTAGTGGGACATTGGGACGTTCGGATTAAAATAGCCTATCGCGTCACTGGATCATTTACCGACGAAGGTGAACTCGTAATAATAGCATTCAAGCATTATCAACAATTGACCAGCATAACATGTACACGCACATACGAAGTTCTATGTGTTGTAGCTGTAGTGAAGGAGAACACAGGTGGGGCAACCGGATTGTATTTAACGAAAATTACAGAGTTACTCTGTAAAATCGGAAAACCATATCGTAAATCGTTAATTTGCCATTTATCAGTTCATCATATCGAACTGGACTGTTCCTGTTGCAAAACATCAATCCATTGTCATTATTCATGCGTTTCATACAAATTCCATTGTGTTCCGAACTCTTCCTTTCTTGATCTTCGCCCATCTGCTGCTGCTGCCAGACATCGCGTTGACACTCACGTCATATATTACTTATAAGTAGCTCACACCACAGTAGCTAGCTGACTATAGAAAATACCTGATACATGTAGGATAATTCAATTTCACAATTAATAATGATTATGTACATATATGTATATATATATTATGAAAATTGATTTGCATTTAGATAAAATATCCTGTTTTCTTTTCTCTCTAATTTCCATTACATGTAATTCAAGATCGAATGTATATATATGTGATCATGATGAAAAGAACCTCTCTCTCTCTCTGTCTGTGGTACATTTCATTTTGTTCCATTCAAAGCAGAAGTAACAGTCATTAATACAATCAGTGTAGTTAATATCATCAATAAAAACTGTAAATAAATGACTAACTAATTGAATAAATTTTTTGAAATGAAAACAAGCATTTGTATTTTATTTCGGTCTGTTGCTGGAACACTTAATTTTTAGACTATTGAGCTAGCATCTAACAGTATTTATGTGTAATTTAAATCAGTCCGCGATATTGTGTGATATCATCTCGACTATTGTCCTGAATGTGTAACTGACTTACAGCCGATATGATTGAACTTTATTGGTCAAGGCTTCTCACTAGAACTTTGAGAATTTATAATCATCTTATTATCAAGAAATACATTTTTGTAGGTTGATTACTAACTGCAAGTCGTAAGAACCAAACTATTGAAATAGACTATGAATAACTTACAAAGGTTGAGAGGAAATAGTAGTAATAACAAATATAGTGAATGTTATCAGTATACGAAAAATAATACTTTAGAAAATGTGCATCGTACCAAACTTCCAGAAATTAATAGAAATGAAACTGTGTACTGAATATTAATAAGTAGTATTATGCCATACATAAAAAGTAAATCGAATAGGAAGACAGTATAGAGAATAGAAAGAGGATTAGCAAAATATATTTACCTAGTAATGGTGGAGAAAATTCTTAGTTCATGTGGGTGAATGTGGCGGAGTTTTGTTCCACGAACTGTTCAATTATATTCCAGATCTACCGTTTATTATTTAAAGTTATTATTTAAGTATCTTGTTAAACTGCATTAGTGAATAGAACGCATACGTCATATAACCGACAACTGATGTGAAGGACATGTTTATTGAAGCGATATAAATAAATTCAGTACTACTGATTTTCAGATTGCAATTTATGTAAATCCGTCTAACATTGTTTGTTAAGTGGGTTTCACTAAAAATGTTAATATATTAGCATGATTGCATCATTGCTAATAAAATGCATTGACTGAGATACTATAATCTGCTATAACTACCTGTTTGCATGAAGTATTAACACAAATCGAGACATTAAAATGACAACTTCCACGATTTGTAAAATATTTATAAATGCATTTATCATATCCGAGCCATTTTTAGATCACGTTCTATTATTAAGCATCGCTGGTGTTTGAAAAAGACTGAGGGAAGGATGGAAAATAAATCGATGGAGTAGTGCACCTTCATCAGTTGAGGTGGTTGGGACCACTGACTGCCTCGTCGAGCTATGTTTTGCGGTGTAGGAGTAGATTGGAAGAAAGCTAGGGGCAACCTAATCAAAACATGGCACAAATCCATGAAGTCACTGACAACTGGAATGAGTCTTGTTAGTAGTAGGTGTAGACTACCTGGTTGGGGTCCGCGAGCCGATAGTAACCGATGGTTAGATACCTTTCATGATATGGCTCAAAATAGTTTGCAATGGCGCAAGTCCATCCACTGGTTGTGTTCTCTGAAACTCTAATTTTAAGATTCGCTCATCACCTCTATCTTTTTAAATTTATTTCACTGGATTACGCTTCTCAGATCCTATCTTTGATCCCTTGTCTTTTCCATTACTGCCACAACCTCTACTACTATGGGATTTGAATTGACAATTCAATCTCTCTGTGTTAATATGGAACGACTACTTGAACTGATGTTAGTACGTACGTACCAAGTTCTATGTAATTGCTAACTGACTGACGTTCTCTGCAAATTATTTAAGTACCAAAACCCTAGCATTTAACCTTGAGAAATAATGTTCACAAAGCCAATAGTATATTACAATTGAATGGATGGAATCTTGACAATTTTTTAATTTTCATTCATTCATAAACTAATAAGTTTTTATGCACCACGAAATTATTTTGAAGTTTTAAGATTCTTACCAATTAACAAACTACAAATCTCATACCATATTTCTTTAATTTCGATATAAAAAGTTATTCTCTATTGAAAATATCGACAGAAGATGAAATAGTAGTAGTCATGTGAATTGTAAATAAATATGTTCTCTACTTAAGATTATCAATGTCCTCAAAATTTATTCTTTCAGTTCTAAATGCTTAAACACTATCAAGTTGTATCGTTCTTTATTTTCGGTCTACCAGATTGTACGAACATTCCACGTACTTATCTATATTAATGGTTGCTGTGGTTGTCAGAAAAGACATTGATGTGCTTACAACTATGACGAGTTCACCTTACTCGGTAAACGGAACGAAAATCAACCATGCAATGACACGATAGGCTATTCTAATCCGATCGTCCTAGGCTCTACTAACTAGAAGAAGAAGTCTTGATAAGGAGTAGAGAATATATTTTACAGGCGTCCAGAAATACAATGAAACGCACTTGATGAGAGCCACAAAAATAGCGTACTAAAATAATCCATCAACCAATGATAGTCAAGGATTTTTCCGGCTGGGAAATGTAAGCTGAAGGTCAACTAAGCGTATTTGGGACGAAAACATAAAATTACAGAATTAAATTACGAAATTAGGAACTTTTCCGAGTGTGTTCTGGGAATCTAATATCCCCAAACAGGCATCAACCTTACAGAAACTAAACTTTCACCATGAGGCGTGATAACCATTCTAAATGAAAAGACTTTCCAATTCCCAGACCAGAGTGTAGATGGTTTGAATTATATTTTTATGCAAATTTGTTTTCTACAACAACGGGTTGCTAACCGCATCCTTGACCCTTCTCATATATCTACGCTTGTGGCCGGCAGTAACCCCAGTTAGCGTTTCAGCTTTTAAATGTAAATGAGTGAACGGAAAAACACACAGATTGCGTGAACATCCCACATATCTGTCTATATTGATGGTTGCTTCTGGTTAGCAGAAGGTGCATCGGCCTCATGACTTTCGAAGAAACTCGGCTTTCACCATGAGGCGTGATAACTTTTCTAAATGAAGACCAATGTTACTCCCAGGACAGAGTTTAAATGATTTGAATTATATTTTCTTTCTGGTTAGCTCTTGTTTAGCGAGTTCGATTTCTACAGGATAGGGGTGATAACCTCATTCTCAACCCTCCTCCTTTATCCGGGTATGTAATCGCAGCTACCCCAGAAGGGCTCCAGGCGGAGTTTCAGTTTAAAGTACAAATGAGCGAACAGAAAAAGACATCGAATCATTATCTTGCTGAATATATATATGTATATTGATAGTATTTACAAATTCAAGAAATATACAAGAAATTCATAGTTTTACTCATCATTAAATTTGATCTTTTTCGCTTTCTGATGATCATCACTGGGTGGAATAAGTGCAGCAGTACGTTTAGCTTTTTGTCGTTCTTTTGATATTTTATTTGATTTAGCGATGGTTGACTCAACTTTCAATCGTTTACGTTCAGCTTCAGCTAAAAAGTATGTACCTTTTTCTAGCTCAATGTCAATTTTCGATTGAACAGGTGGTGGTGGAATGGATTGTACTCTTTTTTCTTACGTAACTGAAAGGAAACAGTAGAAAAAAATATATATATATAAATAGTAACTGGATTTTATTATTCAATAAAACACTCCGTCCTACTTTACGGCTGTCAAACATGGTTAGTCAGAGTAGAAGGTATTCGTAGGTTACTGGTTTTCGATCATAAGTGTCTCCAAAGCATTGCTCGTGTGTCATGGGACAAACGAGTAAGCAACGCTGTTATCTGGAAACGGGTGCTAGGTAAGGATGGCAAATCAATAGATGTTGTAATGAAACTTTATCAGTTGAAGTGGTTGAGACATGTGTTACGTATGCTCACCACTGGCTGCCTCGTCGAGTGATGTTTTGTGATGTAGGAGTAGGTTGGGCGAAAGTTAGGGGCGGCCAAACCAAAACATTGGCAGAAATCAATGAAGTCACTGACAAGTGGACTGAAACTTGTTGGTAGGTGTAGACGACTACCTGGTTGGGGCCCGCGAGATGATAATAATCGATGGTTAGAGACCTTGAATGACATGGCTCAGAATCGTTTGCGATGGCGCCGGTGCATTTATTCTTTGTGTTCTCTCAAATTATAAGCTTTGAATTTCTCATCATCTCTATCTTTCTCTTTTGAAAGTTAACTCACTGATTTACACTTCTCGAATCATATCTTCAAACCCTAACCTTCTGCATCACTGCTAATACGCCTACTACCTCTACTACTATGGGTTTTGAATCGACAATTGCATCTTTGTGCTAATGTGGTATAGCAACTTGAACTGATGTACGCACGTACATACGAAGTTCTATGTTGCTGCTGATTGACTGGCTTGGACTAGCGTACTGCTTAATAGATAGTTTAGGTACACATTTAACGAATCATAAATAACCCGTAATTATTTGAATTATACAATTTAATGAAAAGGTCAGTCAGTTGCATCTGAGTGACTGAATGAATGAATGAAAAGGTGCCTTAACCGACTTCTTCTAATAAGATATAATCGACTAAAACGATTTATATTGTACTCACGGTAAACCAGTTAACCGAAGAAAACATTTTATCAGGTGCAGGCATAAAGATATTGATGTGATTCGCCGAGTGTCTCAGTCATTCAGTTACAACGTAGAACTTCGTACGTAAGTACATCAGTTCACGCTGCCATACCGCACTAGCACAGAGACGCTATAGTCAGTTCAAATCCCATAGTGGTAGAGATAGGAGAAGTCTTACTAATAATGGAGGAGACTAGGGTTTGAAGTTTAATTCAGCGACAAGATTAAAATCAATTGTTGTACAGTAAGTAGTAATAGTAATAATAATAATAATAATAATAATAATAATAATAATAATAATATTAAACATACTTTATGTGGTTTTCTACGTCGACTAAGTACTTTCTTTTTCATTTTAGGCAAAAATCGATCCCATGAAATATTCTGTTTTGTAGGATCCATTGAAAGTTTTTTTATAATAAGTAATCGTTTAATAGAATAAGCTGGATGTATATTGTCATAGATACAACCTTGAACAATTTTACGTACCTATATGATGTCGTA